ATAATAATAATAATAACTAACAATAATAATAATCCCACAGCAACAACAGTATCTAGCGAGCAACAGTGACTTTTGTAGTGCCAGCATTTAAGTTTCATATCAGCACACATTTCAGTTGATCGCACTTTCCACTGCTCTGCTCTCCATGTTAGCTCATCTGAGCCAGACATTCAGTTTTGGACAGCTACAATACTACACCGTATAGTGAGTTAACATAGACTGCGTTTGGTTGAAGAAGTGCACTGTAATGGCCTGTGGTCATGCAGTCCTACATTGCCTGGGTGTAGGGGAAGCTCAAGAGATGGATTTGCAGTCAGAAAAAAATTAAATAAAGATAAGATGTAAAAAGCAGTGTCCCATTAGACATAAACGGGACTCTGTAGAATTAATAATGCAACGAAAACATACCTGACTTATAAAGAATTACAGACTGAAGATGCAAGTGAGCAGTGGGTGAAAAGGAGACACATCATAGGGATCAAATTTACAAACCAGCTTCCAGGGCTGAGAGAACAAAAACATGCTAAAAAGGAATATGTGCCAATCGCCCATTACTTGTTACTGAGAGGTTTTATGGGTTCCCCACGCTAATGTTCATTTGGTGAGCACTCCCAATCAGGCTTCATTAGCTAAATGATGCCTCTATCAAGCCCCTGGGTACACGTAAACAAACTAGGACCAAGCATCACTGATGGTTTTATTAATGGCACTGATTATATTTAGAGGCCTCTTCGTTTCTTTAAGATGAGCAAACCGGCTGTGAGAATCAGGGATGGGTAAGGGGAGGGTGAGTCGAGGATTATATATCGTGTTCTGAGAATTACTGTGCGTGATAAAACAAGTCGGTAGCTTTTGGGCATTGATGGCACCTGAGTGTCAAGGGGAATGTGTGTAAATGAATCCACAGTTTCAAATATTCAATTACATCAAGGCATTTTGAGAGATGCCCGTCCTATTACCCATTACCCTTATGTCGGATCGCCTGCGTATACAAATCCAAAAAGATACTTACCCCAGAGATATCAGCCACTCTGTGGATGGGAACCTCCTTCTTGCTGTGCAGCCCTTTCCCGTTCTTGATGGCCCTACAAGTCAGTCAAACCACAAACACACACACGTCACCCTAAATAGCTTGAGCACCATCATAATACATCAAGAAGGCGTAAGGCTGAAAGCTTAACAGACCTGGAGGAATAGGAGCTCGTTGAGTAATCACTGTACATACAAAAAGGGAGCCATTGTGGCTTTGTGAAGTAGGATGTAAATTCATACTAGTTTATTTTCCCTGAACTGCCATTACAGCTCAACGGGAAGTGCTAGAGGGCGGAATTTTTTATCCACCTATAAAATCTATAGGTTTGAGATGAAAAGTGGTGGTAGAGAAATTTCAATGGTAGAGATATTATTGTTAGAATGGAGGGATGAGGAGAAACGGACAGAGTTCTTTAGAGCCAGCAAGGGGTTTAGCGACGATGACTGGTTATGGTGATCGCTGCCTTAAAAAAGCCTCAGGGGCCGAATGAGATGAAGATGACCACTGAGGTTGCGGCTGTGGAGTGGAATTATGCCACCTATGGGTCACTGTTGCTCCTTTATGCAAGCATGTATACATGTGCATTTAAGAGCCAAGAGGAGGTTTCTTGAAGGCTGCGGGGCGACTGGCCTTGTGCACTGGGAACTAAAAATAAAACCAAGGCTATAGACAGAAACCTCTCATCAACTCTAATAGGACTCCATCAGGGACACAGAGAGAGAGAGAGGGAGAGAGAGAGGGGGAGAGAGGAAGACACAGAAGAGCAAGGCCAAAGAAGGACAAAATTGAAAACAGCTAAGGTGGAAAAAGGACAAAATGTGCAAAAGAAGAAGGAAGGAAAGCAGGAGGAGGGGGAGAGAGCAGAAAAAGAGAGCAGGTGGGCAGTGACATTGCCTGAGAGACAGGGGAGTGAAAGAGTTAGTCCTATAAAAAGAGGCTGTGGCTGCATCTGCTCTACCTATAGCCAGCAGATCTTAATCTATGGCAGAGTAATAAAGCTCCTACTAAATCTCTCTACTGCACCTCCATATAATTATATTCATAGGGCCTGTGTAAAGAGAGCCTCTGATTTAGCATCCAGTGCTTGGGAAGCGGTATGTGTGTCCAGGCATGCAAGTAAAAAAAGAAAAGAAAAAAAGAACATGTATGAGAGACAGCAATGACATGTTTCCTGGGGAAAATGTAGCATCCGCTGTGATAGGCTGTGACTTACGACGCAACAACAACAAGTGAGTTGCTTTACCTGTGCCATATTGGATGCAACAGCAAAGTGAAAGCAATTAAGAAAAAAAAGCCTCAAGGTCGGATTCAATTCCCTTCCACTTCCGACAACAAAATCTGTCAAGGTCATGCACAACTCGTGGATGGAAGAGTGTGTGTCTGTGTGAAAAGAGGTTGTGTAAGGGTAATGAGTGTAATGAGTTTTTATCTGAAGCATAAGAAAGTTCCTTTGTGAGAATGAGCATCCGTTGTGTAAAAGCTGTGTAGGTTCTTGTAAAAGGGAGATGGAAGGAGTTTTGTGTGAAAGTGTGTGTGCACCATGTGTGAGTTCCTCACCGTGCCTCTGCGGCAAGCAGCTCGTCGTAGTGGGAGGAGCGCTGATCGTCATCCTGTCTGTATCTGATGACTGTGGCCAGGCCTTTACTAACCAGAGCCTCTGCTATGTTACTGGAGGAAACGGAGGGGAAAAGAGAAAGAGAGATTACTTTAATAAAAACAAGCAAAACCCCACAGCACAGAATTCCAAGTGAGCTGGCTCGACAAAAAGAAAATAGGGGCATGACAAATCCCAAAGGTGGCTTTGCTGAGGAACAAAGGTCACGTAATTGTTGACATTGCACACTTGACTAATCACTTCCTCGCTGTGTTACTGATGTACAGAAGAGAGGATGAAGGGCAAGAAGAAGGGAGTATTGTGTTCTGGTTGAGGTGTGGGGGAGAATGAAATGAAGGGCCAGGAGGAAAAGTCATCGAATGCATTTGTCTGTCCTCATGTTGCAGACATGGTACCTGACGCAATATTAGAGCCCTTGTTGTCACCAATAACACACCTACATCAACACTTGGATAAAAACTGAAGGCGAAACACACAGAGCCAGCAAACAGCATTTTTTTTTTCTTTAAAAGTTTATGTTTAGTTTTCTTTTTACTAAATTTAGACACATTTGGTGTTATCATACAAGGAAGACTTCCTGTTTGCGCCAAGCTTTTTCACCTTATAACCCCCACACAGATTTGAGTATAGCACAGCTTTATGAATCTTACAAAGTCTGAAGCACAACCCGTTTCTTCTTTCTTACCACAAGCAGGAACATTGTGAATAACACAAAACACCATTAGACAAGGTCACGCAAGGTCGAAAACATCCACCCAACTAACCGCCTCGACCCCCTGACCTCTGCATTCACGGGGGGCCATGCCAACTGTTATCTGTGGAGCAGAGCGGCTGGTGTACTTGGCTAACGCTGGGATGTAATTGGCAGTTCATGAGGTCGGGTCCTGACCTCTGTGTACACACGTACTGTAAGATACAAGACTCTTGGTTTGATGAAAAAGACGGATACATGTTTCCACGAGTGCAATGTGCTTTGTGCCACATAGCCCCGAGTTATACAGACAGACAAAACCAGAAAATAAGTGCGGTTTTCAACTGTTTTTTTTTGGGTGAGAACGGACTTTATTTCACGGCATTAAAGCTCCTTTATGCGGTTTTGATTAAATTTTAACCTTTGAGTACTTTAATAACATTTATATCTGTGGTACTGTATGAAATACATGTTTTAAACAGATAAACCAAATTTCTTCAAAGCAGTGTCTGTAGATAGAAAATAATTGCTTGCACCAAGGCAACCGTTCTCATGAAAATTAGAAAATACAAAGAAGTACTTTCAGGTTACTTTGTGATTCATGGTGAGATTATAAGTTCTAAGCATTTACAAATGATTATTCTGAGTTATCTCACATCAGATGAACACAACTTTTAAAGTTTTACTCAAGGAGAAAGTTAGTGTAATAACTGTGTTTGTGAGTGAACTCTCCTACACTGACAAATTGCATACTGTATGATCTGTCAGTAAGGGCTGCTTATTTGTAACAAACTCCTACCAGATGATTAGTGGTGTGTACTGCAAATGCAGAAATAAAAAGGCATGTTTCATTAACGCAGCAAGCTCATCTTAACTGTTGTATTAACAATAGGAGAATAAACCAAAATAGAACAGACTAAAATGAAAGCAGAGCATTCAGTGTGATATAATGTGGCCAGTTACTTACATGCCGCCAATTGTGACTGTAGCACAGGTGCGTTCTGCGAAGGCTGGGGTGCCTTCTCCTGGACCGGTAGCTGCTCTGATGTAGTCAACTGTCACATTGACCTAAAGGGACAGTAAGCGGGAAAAGAGGTCAACAAAAAAAATAATAAAACACCCCAAGAGTACTGAGACAAACTGAAAGCAACACCAGTTACAGTAATAATTAGTGTAGGGAGTGTTCCGACTTGTGTGTGAGTGTGTGTGTTTGTCCCAGTTCTCAAGGTCACCCCCAGTCAGTGTGAATCACATCAGGCAGCACTGTAGCTCTCCCCAGAGGAGCAGTATTAACACACTGTGGGTGTTTGGGACAATACACACACACACACGCACACATACAGATTCATAGAGGGAAAAGTGATAGAACCCAAATGACCCTACGCTGTGTGTTCTCAAAACTGCTCCCTAGGGACAGACTCCAATCCACCCACCCTGAAGATACAATTTTGTCACTCAGCTGTGTGTGTGCGCATATCCACAGGCATGTGACGGGGAAAGCCTGCTTTGTGGGCCAGACACAGGCAGACAGCGCCAACAGCAGGGATGCAGCCGTACCGGTACAGACAATCGGCAGTTTAAGAGCGACGTGTCAACCGATGTGTGTGATGGGAGCTACGTGTCAACCAGTGTGATGGGAGCGACGTGTCAACCGGTGTGATGGGAGCGACGTGTCAACCGGTGTGTGATGGGTGGGGAAAAAGAGTGGGAATCTCTGCATCGCAGTGTCGTAACGTAGACAAAAGTCAAATAGAGACAATGCAGACAGGCCTATTACAGGGACATGAAAGAGACGCCAAACAGGACATGGAACGACATCAGCTTGTCATTAGATGGACAGGATGAGGACATGGTGACGTGAGGACAGAATGGATGAGGTGTAGTGTATTGTTCAGCAGGAAGTGCTGCCTGCATTTCAAGAGCAGACCAAAAAGGACACTAGGGGCGGGATAATGATTTTTGGAGGCCACCGATGGCTGTGCTGCTTAATAAAAAGAGAATGTATCTAAAAATGCTATAGCACAAAAATGGGGGATTATCTGGAAGAAGAAATAGAAAATTAAAATCTAAAATAAAGGCAATCATACTAGGAGTAGTTCGTCTGCAGTAGCATCTGTATACCAACATGAAAAATTGGATTTATCCTTTGTGACACGATTGTCATCCCAGCTGAATCGTCAGTTCAAAAATAAACATCCCCTTTAAAACGTACATCGGAAGGATTTATATTATGTTAAAATGTCAGGTGTTTATGTTAAACATGGCAAAAGTTTCAAATAATGAAGTTAATATATCTAAAAGTTACCCCTGTGAGCAAAAAGCTTGGACTAGCTTCAGACTGCTCTGAATGAAGCGTTTCCAATGTTTTGTGTGTTACTCGCAGAAAGGGCTTTTTTCGGTTGTGGCATTCTTTCTGGTTTTCCCTCCGATGCCCTGCAACTTCTCTGCCTCAACTCACAATGATTTGAAGAGTCTACTGAAGGACATATAACTTTCCTTGTAAAAGTAGCTAACCGCTGGTGCTGACTACTAATAGACTGGGAACTGGGGGCATCGGCACTCCCAGAGGACCAAAGCTCCTGTACTAGAGCTGTAAACACCAACACTCCCTCGGTGCCCTGAGCTCCAAGTCCGGGCAGAATCCACTAATAGGCTGGCTAGCTGAATGGCTAGCTAACTAGAGAATAGCAGCTACAGTTAGCAGCTAAAGTAGTTAACTGCTAACAAAAATCCCCAAGTATCAGTGAATTAAGTTCTAAAAGTTGCGTACAGCAATCAGTGAGGCCCGGTCTCCAAAAACACTCTCTGCTGGCTGCTCTGGCTGCGGCTATTGATTTTAAGAACCCAATTCTTGTCTCATTTGTGGTCTGATTAACAGTAAATTCATCCAATTCCGTGCCCCATATCGCTATTCTTCAAACTAATTTACTGTAGCTGCCGTATGCTGTCGAGCACGACGCCAAGAGGATGAAGCAGTGCTCACAAGCAACGGCTGCTCTTCCTCGCCAGACTTCCAGGAAGATGGCCAATCAGTAGGAAGTGGGCTTATGGACAGGGGACTTTAAAGAAACAGCAGCTAAACCGGCTCGTTTCACAGAGGATGAACTGAGACGCCGCATAAAAAGGAACAGTATAAGATAAATAATCAGGTGGTTTGTTTTTTTACTGTGTCCATAACAACTGAGAAGTTACTCCAAATGTCAGACATGCCTTGCTTTAGATTTGTAAAAACCCACTTTAATCTTCTTCTACAACTTCATTTGTTGACTCAGTCTCCATCCGTCTGGTGGGTGTAAGCTAAATCCTGGGACCCATAGTTTATTTTTTGACTGCCCACTCCCACCCACAGCAAAGTCAAACCGCCCGTTCCTGCGAGATTTGCGCTGGGTCCTGCGGGACCTGTGGGATCCCAATCTCAACGCAGTCCTCTACTTTGAAGCATGCAAAGAACAAAAATATAGAGCTGGAAATTAGCATAATGGGTCCCCTTTAATAGTATCCATATCCTGACTAACAGTCATATTATCAGCAATATAATTGGTTTGGGATCCTCCCAGGCATAGAACATTATACACTATCCTCGCTTTTAAAACACCCCCAAATTTCATCAATTTTTGGAACCATGCAAATAACCCATTCTCATTGTCTTGAAGGAAATTATTTTATCCTCACTCCCACATTGTAGCTCTTCATTTCCTCATAGACCAAACATGACAGAGTTTCATGTCTATTGAGCCTCACTGAAAAGTGAAGCCATTTAAATGAAGCCAAAAAACACAACAACAAAAAAATCATTATCGTTATTGGTTACAATTTTGTTTAATGGCTACGCATTGCCAGGCCTGGGTATCCGAAGAACAGTGGGTGAACAAAACAATGAAAAACAGGAAGAACTTAAGTTAGCTAGAGAGGACACAAAATTAGATGAAATAAGAACAGGAAAAAAAACTCACAAGCCAAATGTAATACTAGATGCCATAAGCAGTGAAACCAGAACACCAGTAGTTCCCCATTAAGTGAGGTGATGACAGATTATAAAACTTTGACCAAGCGATGTTAGATTAAAGTTCCAGGACCTTTCTCCATGGGCCATCTAACCGATTTCCTGATAAGGCAAAGCTATCTGTAAGACCCCCCCCCCCCNNCCCCCCCCCCCAATCACCCCCAGAGGAGAGTGAGACGGAGGGGGAGAGGCAGTGGATGGATTAGAAAGTGGGGAAGTGATAAGGACAAGGACAGCAGGAGACGTGAGAGACAAAATGTTTTTGTTCTGCTGAGAAGATAAGCAGCATGGGGGAGATTTGGTTTACTCTCCTAAAGGAATCATGTCTGTAACACATCTTGCTTGCGTACAATATCTTTGGTGTTTTTTGTGAATACACCAGAGTACATACAGACATGCTCATATGCATGTGAGTGTTTCAAGACCTGCACAGACAAGTTGAGCTAAGCTATGATATAATAAAGGATACCTGTGCTGTGCCGTATTGTGAGCAACAGTAATCATAGCCCAGCATGGGCTCAGCCTGAGAGGTTTTTCCAGACAGGAACATGGTAAAAGACTGCTTACCCTGAAGTGTAGGAGGTTTTTAGGTTTGTTTAAAATGAAATAAGCACCTGTCACCTGCACCTTTTTTCTAACCCAGCTCCCACAGGGTTTTGGGTTTTTTTTTT